TTTTATATTATCTTTTGACCCTCCTTTAAACAGTGAGTTTAAATACTACAGTATCTTACTAAAGTATTAACAGATAAAATAATTTATTTATGAATTGTACTTTAATATAAACTCAGACAGATGTGAATGCAGACATAAAGAAAGAAAATTGGTCTTGTGTTTACAAAGTTTGAATTTGAATATTAAATATATTCAAATATATTTTTTCATGATAGAATGGATTATGTACTTTTTATATTAATCAACTTGCTGAATGGCATAAGGTAATAATGCAATTTCAGACTGTTTATAGTCTAATACTGTATGTTCTGCTTTGTGCAAAGGTGGTATGGGGAATTTATACTATGACCACTCCCTTTGTACTTCTGTTCCATGCACTCATAATTTAGATGATCATTTCTTCAAACCATTTTTATTTGTACCTACTTTTAAAATTAGTATTTAAAAGGTACAAATGCTACCAGTCTTACTATTTTAGATATTCAGTATTGTATAGAAATCTCTGCAAATTCACACCATTTTGGTCCAGAAACAATCTTGAAGAGCTCCTGCAAAAGAAAAAGGAGATAACAAAAATGAAAATGAAGATGAAGAGGGAAAAGGAGGAAGAGGAGAAGAACAAACCTGAGATCTGGGAGCCAGGCTTAATGACAGTCCTCACCAATAGTCTCTCTATTATTCTTTGAAGAAATATAAAAGGCAAATGCAAGTTTTTGAATAAGGGATATACCCATAGGTGTGTCAGAAGATGTGCAATTAAGAGATAATTTAGTCAACAATGTAAGAAAATTCTTAAAATCAAGTACTGGTTAAGACTGAACAAGTTCCGCTGAGGAAATGATCTGTAAAGTTCAAGAAAGCTACAACTTGTTCTCCTACCCCCTCCATTCACACATAACACACTTTACAAATTGAGGACCATATAAATTAAAACAACTGCATTTACTTGAGTGTTTTTCTTTCACTCTCAACCCATCACCACCACCATTCCAAGAAAATATGGCAATAAAATTGACCAAATAATTAGAATTTTTTCCTTTGTAAACCATTTACCACACCCTAGAGGAGTTTTCCTGCAACAGCCAAGACGTGTAATTCCTAAAAGTTTGGTTATTACAAAAGATAGCTGGGTTTCTTGAAAACATTAAGGATATAAATAACCCAAGGAAGGAGCTGTTAAAGTGAAAAAAGGAGAGCTATGGTGGGAGAAGGACAATTCTCCCGAATCTATTTGTTTTGTTTTTGTTATTGGAATAGGTTTTTCTGAAAAAAATAGGGAACAGTGGAGAATGCTGTTCTCCCCTGGCACTGCACAAGAAAAGTCAGTATGTCATGTCTTAACAGTCCTTATGAGTAAGAATAAAACATTCTTCTGCCCTCTCAGTGCAAATACAGAGATTTAAGTAGTAAAAATAAATAGTCTACATAGAAGGTGGCGAATAATTTTAGCAGAGAATGGTTGATAAGTTGTCTATATATGGAGGGAAAATGGGCAGAAGTAAGGTAGAGTGAAGTGAGTAGCTCAGCTTCTCTTTGAAAATGGAATGTACCTCCTCATTGTACAAAGAAGAGTAAAGCCTTAAGGGACTTTTATTTATGTGTGTAAGAATGCTAATGACACCCAAATTTATTAGCTTGCTAAAATATATGTTTAAATACACATTGCTTCTGGAGACAGAAAAATTCCACATAATTAGAGACACAATCTTTATTATTAAAATGAATATTATAAATTTAGCTGTAAATAAGCATCAAGTAAAGTATTTCACAGTATCCTGCAATTGAAAATAATAAGGTGACTAAATTATACAGGAGTCCCACTGATGCACCCTTTCAGACTGAGGTATCTGATCAAGGTATTTTAGTCTATTGTTCCTGGGGTAGAGAGCCTCTCTTCATGGAATTACAAGTTAATAAAATTTGCTACTCAACTGAATGACCTAAAAATATATAAATCCATTTGCATATTTTGATACTTTAATTAATTATATGCACTCCACAATGAATGAATGTTTTGCATTCTGCTCTATTCCTTTGCTCTTTTTTTTTTTTTGATAGCAGGCATCAAACTTGGGCTCTTGTGTTTTTAAGGCAGGTGGCAGAACCACTGAGCTAAAGCCCTGACTCCTTTGCTGTTTTAGTACTCTGATCAACTTTTTCACTCCAATAAAAAAAAGTTTGATTTTCATGTGTTCATTATTGTCTCAGAGACACTACAATAATTTTTGTATTTTGAAATTTAAAAAATCAAACTACTTTATATAGGAAATGTAAGATTCCTCATCCCGAATTGTACGTTGCCATAGTTGAGGGTGTTTAGTTTCTGTATTCAAATTGCATGGAACATAGAAAGTAATAAATTAGAAGTCTAAATAGAAGATTTTACCAAGGAAAGGGGAATCTCAAAGAAGAGGCAAGTATCTGCAAAGTAGTCAGAGTGGTATTTCTTTTTTGGTTTAGAGTTTCCCCTGGAAGCTGGGAAAAAGGGAGAAAAATAAACAGAGACCCCAGAAACTGATAACCACATTTATGGATATATTTCTTAAAAATTGGCATGTCAAATATGGTGAGCGAAGTAGTCACCTAATATAATCTGAAAAGCATTGCTTCAGTAAGCTATACTTTTCTGTAAAGTAAGCTTATTTTGTATGTATGAGTCACTTTCTTCAAAATATCTTCCCTTCCAGTCTGTCTGTAATTCCTCCACTAAAACTGACTATTTTGTGCCTCCTATTCCTAAAGCCTAGAAATCAGATATGCCGGGATATATAATACTGAACTAATAACAGTCTTTAGCAACTTGGAGTAAAAAAGTTGATCAGACTACTAACCAGAAGGGCAAATAAATAGTGCAGAAGGCAAAACACATTTATGAAGTGAGGGGGGAATACAGTAAATTGGAGTATCAGGTACCAACTCAGAAATTCCTGAGTAAAAGAAGCACCTTTTCTAAGCAGCATAAGAATAGCAAATTCTTCTTCCTGAATGATGTAAGTAGTCTTTCCAAAAATTGGACTCTATCCTCAATCCTCTAAAAAAGTCAATAATCTTCTAGAATAATTTATTCTTCCCCCTTTAAGAAAAGATACATTTGAACTGAAATTCATATGTCAATAAAATTATATCAATGACCCTAAGAAGTGACCCTAAGCAATATAATCTAATCTAGAGAACAGTAAGAATTCAAACTAATCTAGAGAACAGTAAGAACAGATAGAATAGACAAGACTCTCCATTACAAATACCCACAGTTACGTACTCTACAAAATGATTGCTTGCAATCCCAATACAACATGAAATTATAATTAAACTCTTTAAATCAAAAAGGCCAGGCACAATTACAGTTAATCTTTTTAAAACAAAATTTAACATTCATTTAAAACTCATCTAATACATCAAGACACATAATTTAAAACTAATATTTAGCAGATCCATGGTTCTATTGTTGCTAGCAGCACAAAATCATTTAATATGTTATTATCTTAAGAACAAAATAGAAGCAAAATCAACACGTGTCCAGATAAAACATTCAGTTAATCTTAATTATTAGAATCCGTTGTGACTTTACCAATTTTTCCCCAAAATGTATTAGTATCTTAAAAGTTACCTAAAATTTTTCCTTTCTTTAAGTATAATAATACACTTGTTTGTTTTCCACATTTGTTCTGGATGAAAGGTAGAATGTTTCTTCATTATATGGCACATAGCTTTTGAAAATAAAACTTTGAGCTTTTTGTAAAACATGTTTAAAATTATTCTAATACTTATGACCTCAGATTTAATTACTACTCTTATCCCAGTTTTGTCCTACATACTATTAACAAGCAGGTAGCAACTAAGACAGTGTAAGGGATGCCTATATAGCTGTCAAAATAATCTTCAATTTTCTCAAAATGTGAAAGAATTGCTTTCTCCATTTTCTGGATTTTAGACTGTGAAGGCTTCAGAATGTTATGGTTGGGGCAAAGCTGGATTTAGAAAAACATCAATTCAGATTAGGTTTGATGTGGCTGACTGCTTCTAAACCCTACGTTGGATTATATAGATTCCTTTAAAAATGACATCTGCCTCAGAATGAGAAATACAATGTGGTAATACGTTTAAGAGATGTAGTTCACTTTCTGTCACCTTTTCACTCTGGATCAAGCTAAGTGATTAATTAGTGCACTACTTCTTGCATAGGCTCAGTAAGTGCCGTCAAACAGTTACATCCATATCACTTTAAAGATATTATAAAGCTTCCTTTACTAGGTAGGTCCATTTAACTCCAGAGGTGCTCTTTGGAAATATATTTAGAAAGCTAAGAATTGTTACTATCATATTTATGGTTTCTCCTGGGTGCTAAGGCCATTGAGTCACCTCATGTGAAACTGGGCAGACTATCTGCTCTCACGGATTCAATGTGGCAGAGGGTTATTGTGTGGCAATATATGTAATACTCCAATTTAAACATACCAGAGGCCTGAGGCCAGACTTTCATTTGGTGAATATGTGTGAAAGATTCTATTTCTTGTTGATACTGAATAAATAAAATAGCTTCAATCTCCAGAGTGTAATCACACAGAAAAAATAAAGATGATCCTGTATTGCTAACATTTTGTTTACACAGAGCAGTCTAATGCCTAGTCCACTTAAAATACAATAAAAAAATGATGTTGAAATGTGATTTGTATTACAAATAGAAACACTCCCTTTGAGTATAGAGATTCATCATCTTTACTAACAAAACTAAACGTTTACGGTAGTCCTGAGCTGGTGATCTCTTTGTGACTTGGTTTCACAGGTAAGGCTTCTGACTTCAGTTGAGAGCATATGAGTATTGAATATCACTGAAATTTTAAATTAAATTTTAGGGAAGTGATAAACAAAATCTCTGCATGGACATGTCAATATCAATGATGGTGAAGTAGAATGCTACAAATAGGTCTATTATGAAGATGTGACTTCCTCATATAGAGGATAACTGGAAAACTGAGTTCTTCCAGGGAGTACTTCCTGTAGGTTGAGGTGTTGTAAATGTGTCCTGACATACTTTTACCCTCATTTAGGGTTTGTTGTTGTTGCTCCTTAGCATAATTCAGTTGCCATAGTAGAAGTGGTATTATTGCTTAAAAATGATTTTGTATGTAGTTGGATGCTATCATTCAAATCTTGTCTCGAAAGACGTCTTCTGAACTCACTAGTGGTAAAATAGTATATGATTGGGTCAAGGCAGGAATTCAGACTAGCAAGACACAGTGCTACAGAATGAAATATTAGAATCACTCTCCTGGCTATACAGCTTTTAATTTCATTGGACTTGACCAGGAAATCTAAAGGAAAACTGAAGTGATAAGGTGCAAAGCAAATTAGGAATACTCCTGCACAAGTTAGAATCATCTTCAAGGCTTTCTTTTTCTCTCCAAGGTCTTGAGCAACAGGATGTTTATCTTGCAGTGATAAAACTGTCTTCCAGGTACAATATAGGACAATCAGAAGAGGAGTAACAAATCCAATCAACTCGCCAACAGTTATCATGGCAACAGACTGGGTCAAATTGACATTCCTGGTAGGAAGATCCACAAAGCATTTGGTTTTATTGCCTGGTGTGTTATCACTGGTTCTGAAAAGGGGGAAGAGTAGACAGGCAAGGCAGATGATCAGCCAGCCAGTGATACTGATGTACAAATCATATTTCTGTTTGCAGTCATTGAAGCGAAAGGGGTACATGAGAAACCAAAATCGCCGTACGCTAATGCAGACCAAGAAGTAAATGCTTGCATACATGTTGACATATTTTAGGTAGAAACAGAACATACAGAGGCCAGTCCCAAATGGCCAGTCATGATTCAAATAGTAAAAGATCCTCAGGGGCAAGGAGATAACTTGTAATAAGTCAGCAATGGCTAAGTTTATCATAAATATCAAAGCACGTTTGGTTTCTTTCATATAACCATAAAATACCCATAAAGCTAATATGTTCCCTATGAGACCAGGCACAAGAATGACAGTGTATGTCACTGCATAGATGAAGTACCGAAAATCTGGGTTTTCTCCATCTGTCCTGTTACATGTGTCATTAGCAAGCATGATTCTTTCTAAAGACATTGTTATTGCCAATGATTCAAAATCTACGTTAACTGCTACTCTTTCTAAAAGATTGGTCATCAAAAGGATGGAGAGACTGAGTATAAAATAAACTTTTGCCACATTGGCTAGCTTCTATGCCTGATTTGAGAATTTTTCAAAGATTTATCTGCATGTTTGCCTTGTATATGTTCACAGTATCTACATTACAATGCACGCACAGATGAAAAGCCCTTATAATTATCTCCTCCTATTGTGTAAGGCCTTCTGGGGTTCATAATAGTTGGTTCTCTCTCACTTAGATTATGAATGCACCATAGAGCAGCTCCTCAAATTTCTGTATGATGATAGCCATCTCTTTCCTGGTGTTTGGCCATGTATTTTTCTTGTCTTTCTTTTTCTTTTTTTGTTTTCGTTTTGTTGTTGTTGTTTTCTCACATAGAAGAAATGTTTGCTTTAGTGGACTCTTCCAGGATGTTTAGCTTCAATGGATCAGTTTTTCAGGACTTATTCAGATAGGTTTTGAGGGCTAAAAAGTGAGAAAGTGAAGCAGAGCTGAAAGTGAAAGAAAATAAGCCAATTATTGTCTTTCACATTTTTGAAAAAAAGAAGCAGTCTATGCATAGAAAAATATATTAGTTTGAATGAATAGTTTTTAGTTGAGTGGGGGTAATATGCTACAGTCCCTACAAGGCACTTTACAATTACAAAAAAAAACTTAAGTAAAAGGAAAGTGAGAAATAACCTATCCCCTTATTCCATAAAGTCTATGAACCAATATCACACAAGAGCTTATTATAATTCAGAAGATCCTTAGGCCTTACCCTGTATCTGCAGAATCAGAATTTGCATTTTAACAGTCATCCAAGGTGATTCTTCTGTATATGACATTTAAGAATTTCTTATCTAGATCATTGCTTTATGAACTTCACAGATCATTAAATTCATCTAAGGAAGTTTTGATGTTTCGCTGTTGTTCTGTTTTTGTTTTTTGTGGTACCGGGGATTGAACTCAGGTCCTTGTTCTTCCAAAGCAGGCAGCAGAACCACTGAGCTAAATCCCTGGCTCTGTCTTGTTTTTAATACAGATTTCCTTGAGACATTTTGATTCAATATGTTTGGGCTTGGACCTTAAATCTTCATTTTAAATTTTTTTTCATGTTATTATGGTATAGCCAACCCAGTATTTGTCCTTGAACTATCATTTGGGGGCCACTGATGTGATCTGAATCCTTCCTAGATTTCTAAAAGTAAACGGGTAACAAGCCTTGCTTTAAATACTTCTATTTATATGAATCATTTAGTCACCTCATAATTATTCCAGACAACAGACCATAACACCCTAACAGAAATCAAAATCTCCAGAAAGTTGACTCAGCTGGGTCTATGACTCTTGTTCTGAGGTGGAAAAAAAAAAGTAAGCTTAGAAACATGGATGGTTGCTTTGAGGCTGCTGAAATCTAGAAGGACTTAGCTGACTTTAAAGATAGTGGAAAGAACAAAAGTAAAATAATTATGAGACATCCTGCTTTGGATTAGCAAACCTATATGGATTTTAGTCTGCATGATTCAGCACCGGAAAAAATTTGTTATTGTTATTATTTTGCCTCAATTTCCTGGTAAGCAAAGTAAAACTTTTTATCCTAAGATATGGCGCTTACTTTATTTAAAAGGGTGGGTAAGACAAAAGATATTATGTACATGTACCAACTCCCCACAAGGAAGGTAAGTATCATGTACTACAAATATTGCTAATTAATTTTTTTAAAAAGGGTGAATGAATGACACAAACCCACAAACTATGAATTCAGGCAGAAGAGGTTAACTATTTGAAATTCTTCATATAGGAACCTGTAGAAAAATAGTTTTATAAAACCAAGTTAAACACAACTCTAAAGGGAAACATTGATAATAAAAAACTCATTGAAAGGCCGGAGATTTGGCTCAGTGGTTCCACAGCCTACCTTGAAAGTGTAAGGGCCTGAGTTTTCTCCACAGTACAAAAAAAAAAAAAAAAAAAAAAAAAGAAGTCATTGTAATTAACATAATTCAGCTCCCAAACTAAAATGTCTTGGTGATGTTTTCACAGGTACAATTTTTTATTAGGTGATAGAGAAAATAAATGACAAATAGTTATATGAAAAGATATTTAATATCACTATACATAAGGAAAATACAAATCAAAACACAAAGAGATACCACTTTGCACCAATAAGAATGATGAATATTAAAAAGAAGAGAAGAAAGATAATGAATGTTGGAGAGGATATAAGAAATGGTAATCTTTCCACACTTTTGGTGAGAATATAAATTGATACAACCATTATGGAAAACAGTATGAAGATTCCTTAAAAATTCAAAAAAGAATGACTGTATCATATGATTCAACAATCCCAATTCTTGATATGGATGCATGGGAAATAAAGTCATTATGTTGAAGAGACATATGGGTTCTCATGTTTACTTCACCTTATTTTACCATAATTTTCAACAGACAAAATTCTGAAGCAAGACAAATAACTATCAACAGATGAATAAAGTGTATAGATATAGATAATATATGTGGAATCAAATAGTGATTGGAAGGACTGGAGTGGAGTGAAAAATGGTCAATGGCTAAACATTTTCAATTATAAAATAAACAAAGTATAGAACTGAACACACAGCACAGTGGCTCTGGTTAACGATATTATGTTATTTAGTTGAAATTTGGTAAAAGAATAGGTTTTGTGCCCATCCATGTACACTCACACTCATACATATATGCTACAGTGTTACCTTTTCATGAGGCTTTCCTTACACTTCCTATTTACAATTGTACTTCTCTTCCAATGCTGCCCAACTCTGTATTTATTTTTTCAGGTCAATCACCAAAAAATATTTTGTCTTTATTTATTTGTTTGTTTGTTTTCTGTTGTATAACTTTACCTCCTGGAATGTAAAGTCCATGAAGAATAGATTTTTTTATATTTCATTTAGATGCTATATAACAGAGCCAAAAACTGTGCAAGATATAAAGTGCTCAATATTTGTTAAATGAAATAACTTTAGTAAATATATGTTAATTTATTGTAAAATTTAACATACTCCAAATAATAACCATCATCTCTCCTACTTCAAGCAAGATTCTATTTCCCCAGGCAGCCTGGCTCAAAGTATTGGAGAAAAGGACTCTTTTTGGTTTGCTCTCAAATTTTAAGTATGTTCCTGAAAGGAAGATACCATACCATGTGAAAAACAATAAATGCTTTGGCACCAGGAATTCAGTTTATTTGTGCCCCTTCATTTAATAGCTGTTCCACTTTAAGTACAGCACTAAATCTCTCTTCTCCTTAATTCTTTCCTTGGTAAAATGAAAATAATCTTAGTATCTAACCTACATAAAAAATGTGAGAATTAACTGTGCTAACATATGTGATACATTAAGCATATTATTACATACATAATATGATCAATAAATATTAGTTATTATAATTGACATTATTTTCTGCAAATAGATTATTTTTCCTAATCATAAAATGTTTAAATTTACATTGTTTCTACTCTAGTTCAGGCCTTTTTTAAATGATTGGGCTCCTTATCTGTTATTTTCCCCACTCCATTCTACATCAGGCAGCCATAATATTTTTTTCCTATCATAGGCTCTTTAGAAAGTTTTAATGGCCCTTTATTACCCACAAAAAAGAAGGCACATACTCTGGCAATGTCTTGCTTCATTAAGTGCCATCTACTTTTAAAGCTTTCTGCCAATACCTAACTAAACTGCCCTATGCTCAAACTCAATTGAGTTTTTGCTCTTTAAACTCCCTTTCTTTTCACAAACAATATCTGATCCTCTGTTATTTCAGCCTAGAACATTATATTCTCTTTTGCCTAGCAATCCTACAGATTTGTAAAGAACTTTCTCACATTTCCTCTTCTTCATGAATCATTTTATTTTAATTCAACACTGTTGTGCTAGCCCTTTTCTCTGAATCCTATTTGTAACTGGAAAAGTTACTAACTTCCTCTTCTTCTGGTATCATACTTTGTGCCTGCATCTTATTTATGTCATGATCCTCCAGTCTACCCACCCCTTCTTAAATAGTCCAGCAATTCCTTGAAGTTATGAGATGAATCTTGTACACTTTGTACTCTGTAGAGTACTTAAAACCTGGCTTACAAGTAATATATTAATCAAATATTAACTCACTAAATATTTGTCCAGCATTTTTGATGTGCCAGGCAACATATTTTGTATTGAGAGTATAGAAAATAATAAGAGGTATGCAATTTCTTTTTTATTAAAAAGGATAGGTTTATTTGGCTTAAAGTTTGTACAGTTTTAAGTCCACAAAGTCCATAATTTCTGAGTTCTTGAACCTTGTATTCTAGTGAGAGAGAATAATAAACACTGTTAAATGTGGAAAGTATGACCATAGGCAAATTCAGTGTACTTTGTAAGCGCATAAGAGGAGACCTATCTAAAGTAATAAGACCATATTTACTGAAGTGAAATGAAAAAGGCAAGACTACCTTTCTGAAATTTGTGCTCCTTTAGGTTATCCTCTCATTGACCACAACTTAAATAATTTTCACCTCTATATTTTAACTTGTAACCTTGAAAGTCTCCCTTAAATTTCATATGGTTTCCTCCTGGAAAACCTCACAATGCTTGTTCTTTGTTTTAGGTAACACTATTTTCTAGGAGGAAAAGTTGATTGGAATGATGGAGGAGACTTTCTACCATAGGAAAAATCCCAATTCAGATACACTATAATGAATCTAAATGTTTATTTATCCAAGGGTTATGAGGAAAAAAGTGAAAGTCATTTTTTTCATGCCATAGCCATGTTCTTTGATATTTTCTTTCCTAGTAAGATATTCATATTGTAACACAAACTAAAATAGAGTCCAATTTGAAATCAATGATTTATTTGAAGGAACATCCTAGATTCATTGAGCAAATGTTTTTCTTCTTTCAGTATTCTGCCCTTCCTCAATTGTACTTACTATTTGGGAAG